TGTGTGGTTCATCATCATCTCTGATACAGTTCAAGGAAAGAGAAATTTTAAAATAAATTTAACACATGTCCGTGAGTGTAAGATTATTTGGGGACTTGTGAGTAAGTGAAGTTTTGCTCCAGTGTGAAATCTGACTTTCTTTTAACCATTTCTTTGAAATAAGAACTAAGTTCTCCTTCCAAAACAATAAACATTCTCAGGCCACAGTCTGAACTGTAAGCATCAGTCTGTTTCTCTTGGGTTATGTAAGTTGTATACTCGGTCTGAAAACTGCAGAGTTTTGTATCTGTCCTTTCTCTGTTTGGTCCCACACCGATGCCAACGTGGTGACCTCTGAGTGCGCCCAGGCGCCTGGTTCTGGCAGGTGCTCTACATGCAAGAACCGATACGGCCCTTCTGACGCCTGGGTCTGTCGTGTCACCTGGCGTTCATCCCAAACAGAGGTCGAGAGAGGGCACTTGCCCCATACTGGATGACAGATGTATGGCAGGACCAAGGTCTGACTTCATAGCACACATATGTCCGGGTTCATAGCACACGGAAACTCCGGAGAGGATTTAACGTTTTAACCAAGTAATGAAAGTCTGGATGCCTCCGCACTACCTCCGATGGCCCCACCAGTGTCCTATCGGGCAGGATATCTCGACTGATTCCAGTCTTCTAATCGGTGTCAGTGGAGACCTGCACCACACGGGGCACTGCCTGTGGGCTGCGAGCGCCCAGAAATCGTGCTTATTGTTATTTCTGCGTTTCTGACGTTTGATTCACTTAATCATTCATGGAAGCGAACGTCGGTCAGTGTCAACGAAGAGAAAACGTCCTCCCAGGGAGCTGTTGCCAGGCTGATGGCTCATCGCCTAGGAGATTACCGGGACGTCTTGAACCCAACAATTCCAAGAAGAAAACTGATGGTTTTAGTGAAGCTGAGGTGATCTGGGGATGCGTTTCCTGAGGGGGATGAGGTGCCGACCTTCGGGGCGCCTGCAGGCGCATCACAGTGTGTGCGAGCCAAGCCCTCGGGTCGTGAAGGGGGTGGAGGAGACACAGGACCGGAGCCAGAGTGGGTCACGGAGACCACCGAGCAGACATGGTGTCTGTGACGGGCGTCAGTCTCGGCAGACGCACTCAGATGTGTGTCTGTGCCCTGCGCCCCTGCTTGTGGACGGAGCAAGTGTGACTCCCCACTATCCCAAAC